TTTCAAAGGGTAGAGAACCTTTAAGAAAAATCGATCAGTAAGGAAGGTCACCTCTGCTTTTGATTTTGTGACCCCTGTTAATCGATTATTTTATTTTATTCTCACTATATTCAGGTACTAGTCAGACTAGACCATTTTGCCGACATTATTCTCTCAATACAAAAGAAAGCTTCAGCAGCGTCTTTATTGGAGCAAAATCTTTAAATTTCTGATTTTTTTAACCTTTGTATTGACATATTTTGTTTGTCAATCATGTTGTGCTGTTCAAATATTTTGTTCTATTGACAGAATAAATAAAGAAATAAATATTTTTTTTCAATTAGGAAACTAACTAATGAAAATGGACTTGAAAGAAACAAAGTGAGATGCGTTCCAATGTCTCAAAACAAATGAAGTTTGCTTGGATTCTGGCAGAAAGTGAGCGAATAAAACATTGTGATATTATTTCTTATTATTTCTTAGGATGACTGCCAAAAATAACGGGATTATTTACGGATCATCGTGAAATTCTTCCGAAGATCAGAATATGTGTGTCTAGGATGATCGTTGCTCTCCCCGTCTTTCTGTCAAATGAAATGTGTTGCCTATGTATCCCAGTAAACGTATTACAGCCATACATTCTATATATATATATATATATATATATATATATATATATATATATATATATATATATATATATATATATTACATTTCTGACATCACGCATGTCACGTTTGTGGACTATAACATAGTCCAGTAGCTGCCATTGACGGAACATTGGTCGCATCCATGCTGTTATATGGTCAACTTTATGCTGGAAGTGTGGACTCACAATGTGAAGTTGAAAGTCTGTGTACAGTTTATAAAGTAGCCGAACCTTGCTATTCATTTTATCTGTCCTGTACATTCCCAGTCACTTCGATGTATTCCAGTAACTTCCAAAGCTAACATTAAAATCACATAACAAAATGATTTTATCAGTCCTAGGAACATATTGGAGATCTCGTAATGCCTTGTACAAATTGGACTTTACAGCTTTAACGGAGACATGTGTAGGTGCATACCGACTGGCGGCAAGGTGCAGTCGAAGTGGCATAAGTCTATCGATTATACCACGTGGTAGCTCGCTCAAGAAAAGCATTTGTTTCGTTCGTACAGCGAACCCTGCATCAACTTCTCTTCGTTCATCTGTTTTCCAAATTTACATTAAAATGTGAAGTCACTGGTGTGTTCTTCAATTTAACCGTAATAACAAAAGTGGGACTTTAGTCGCTATTGCAATAGCGTTAGCGACTGGAATCTCTCGCAGCAAACAAGAGATAAGCTAGTTGATATGTCAATCAGCTCTCGTACGAAAGAGAGCGAGTGATGTTAAGTTTAATTTTCATTGTTTGATTTCGAGCACTTAATGGGGCATCCGCCAGCCGCGCTAAACTGGCTAGACAACCAGTGAGACTAGATCACCTTTTGTAGAACCCTCCAGATATAAATACTTCAGATGAGCAGGGTTATCCTTAAACTTGGTTGTTCAGTCATATTTGGAGCAAATGAGTTCTATATTTGCTTCCATAAGTAGACAAACAACTTTATATCTACTAAAGGTAACCAATGTAGGTCAGTATCTACGTACTCTCAGTACCTATGCATCGCCACTTCACGATCGCCATTGGACTTCAGAAACCAGATCAATTATAGATGTTATGATGTCAGCAATGCCAGTGCTGAGATTATAATCGTATAAAGATTGCACAACGCTGCAACGACTCACACAAACAATGGTAAGAATACCAGAGATAAGCATATGCGAGATGTCCGGATTAGCACTGATATGGGTGTTATATCAGAGTTGTCCTAAATATTTCTACGTTCTTGCGCATATATATACATGGGCATACACACTCATATACATTTATATAGATATATGTGTGCGTGTGCGTATAAACTCACTAAAATTAAAGCCCTAAAAACACACTGAGTGTTTCGTTGTAAATTTTAATTCTTTAATCATATTAAAGTAAATATTAATTCTTTAATCAATTATTCTTATAAAAAAAAGGATTTTTTACTCAACACAGATATATATGGGCGCTGACTGTGGAACACTGGTTAGCAACATTGTATTCTCATCAATATCAGTGGATGGTGTTCCATCGTAATTAAAACGAGGAAATTGAATGTTGCTTTTGGGGTAGGCAGGTCTTTCACTTTTGGAATATTAACGCAACACAAATTTTGCACGCTCCTTTCAACAATTTTTCATTAATAATGCTGTGTACTAATTTAAATTAAGCTCAATAAGGAACGTATTTGTTTCTGTCCTTGTGCCACACTCAGTTAGGCTTAGTAATTGATATTAAGAACTAAAGGGTCTTCCTCGAAATTATTTTACATAGAAAGAAAAAACAAACAATAAAGAGAAGAATGCAACAAACGACAAAAGGTGCAGACGATTGCAAGTCGGGAAAATTTGGCGCGAGAATATAAATAAGAGATAACTGAAAAAATAGAAAATATACATTAATACAGATAACGTTTAAAGGCATCTTGCAAATAAACTAAAAGCAATAATTACCGCTGGATCGGCTTTTTATCAGTTTCAGTAAGATCTTTCCATTAATATTGACCAATGCGTAAAAAGGAAAAGGCAACAAATTGTCTTGCAAAAGATAAACTTCTATTCAGAGATTTTAATGTTACATGAATGTAAAACGAAATTATTCCATCTAGAAACAATCAGTTCTTCGTTAGGTTCAAGGGATAGGTAATCACTGAGGACGAATAAGATATCAAGAATCTTAAATGCACACATTTTTTATTTGTTTAATTCACGCCTTGAATCATTACTCATTGCTTTTGCTCGATTTTCTTAACCAATTTTTCTTTTCTTTATCTTTTTCTCTCCCTCTCTTTATCTATACCTTTTCTTTTATTTCTCTCTTTCTCTGCCTCTCATTATCTCTTTTCCTTTCATGTGTGGGTGATAAAATGGATAGTAGATCGGAATAGAAATCGGAGAGCAGAGTTCGAATTCCAATTGAATTCGTTACATTCACTTACACGCAAACCCTGAAAAAGGTATGAAATAATCTCTTCTACCCTTGGGAAAGGTATGAATCGATCCCCTCTTACTCAAGCTATGGGTTAAATACTATGATTTGTACCTGGAAAAATCGTTATCTCCAAAACATTGTTAATGTAATATTCACTTGCAAAAAATATTCTTACAAGCCAAATTATTTTTCAGCATAAAATAACCCACAAATTATTGATAAGACGTAAAAAAAAATCAGTCAGTCACTTTCTCTTCCTCTTTTTCTCATCTTCTCTTTCCCCATCCTTTCTTTTGCTTCTTATATTTCTCTTGCACAGTGAAGATTTTACAAGTTCACCAATGTACTGTGTACAATGTAAGTAAGAAGACCGCAGTAGAGTGAATCTATCTCCTTCCCGAAAATCACCATTCACAACTGTATTTTAATCTTGCGTCAAAACAATTCCTGAAAGTGAACACAGAGCATTCATATTCAATAATCATCTCCTAGTAGATAGATAGATAGATAGATAGATAGATAGATAGATAGATAGATAGATAGATTCAATGCTTGAATAGTTTTATTTTTATTTGCCCTTATATACAACAACTATGTTTTATCGCTCGTTAATGGTGTGCCTTTAAATGACGACAGGATGCACGAGGATTCGGACTGAACGCCTTTAAAAGGCTCTCAGAAGAATCGGCATTGTTATCTGAACCAGTGTCTTCTGTATACCCAAAAGACGGAATAGCATTATTCCTAAATTCAATCTCGTCTTTTTGCACCGGAAAACCCTAATGTTACAAATTAGCGGGAAAATAAGAACAAGTAGGAAAAGAATGCAAAATCAGCATGACAAAAAGTTTTCTTTCATGTCAAAGGTATTCTATGTCAACAGTCACTACAACAACTATCAACTACATCTTATATGGCTGCCTATTTGCGGGTGTATCACTGTTGGTAGGACACAAGCCAACAAATCATCGATACATCGGTTTGTTAATAGAAGAGGATCAGTGATATGCGTGAATGTGCATGAACTCGACCTATTGCCCATCGTCAAACCGTAGAAATATTTGGCTTTATCGATTGGCCCCAAAATACACAGAAATATTTGTAAATATTTCGCGTTAAATTGTAGTTTATATTTAAATGAAAAATTTATTCTTTTGTGCCATTTTGGTCGTATTCACTCTACTTCGGTTACGCTTGAATGATTATGAATGAATTCAGGCTTTGGTCGGTGACCTGCAATATTAATTTTAAAAACAAACATATAAGCTCCGTAAATAGTTATCCGAAGGTGGTTTGGTGGCTTGTACAATAACGAGATTTTTTACCTGTAAAGAGTTTTAGAGTTTTGAAAATTTACCTTTTGAAGAAAGATTTTTAACATTAAAAAAACACTCTTCAAATGGATGATTAACACTATAAAATCTTTCAATTTTTTAGCAGCTGATAAGATATGTACAAAATTGTACAAGATCTGTATTTTTATGAGAACAGATTCAATAGGCACGGCAAAAGCAACTTCTTTTCTGCTGTAGGCGTTTACCTGGAGATAGAAGTCTACGTTTCAAGCAATATTTTCAAAGTACATGTATAAATACTTAGAAGATTACAAAGATCTAATCTGTTTACTCACCTATGTATAGTAAATCTACAGATGTGTAATATCTGCTATATAAAGACATATATCGACCTGAAACTTATTTGCGTTGAAATAAACGCATAATCACATTTCCCGACGGGGCTTCTGCCGATGTGTGGGAGAGGCTATCAGAGATAGATAGATAGATAGATAGATAGATAGATAGATAGATAGATAGATAGATAGATAGATAGATAGATACGATGCTAAAATTAGTACACAATGTAGTGAGATAGTAGACAATGATGGAAAAGATGGGCGGATGGTGTAATGGACAATGGCTCGGAATCTCATTCCGCGAAGTTGCTTATGCATATGTGTGTGAGAGGCTATCAGAGATAGATAGATAGATAGATAGATAGATAGATAGATAGATAGATAGATAGATAGATAGATAGATACGATGCTAAAATTAGTTTTACACGTATTGAAATGGTAGACAATGGTAGAAAAGATAGGTGGATGGTGTAATGGACAATGGCTCGGAACATCATTTCGCGACAGTGTTCATGCCTATGTGTGTGAGAGGTTGTCAGAGATAGATAGATAGATAGATAGATAGATAGATAGATAGATAGATACGATGCTAAAATTAGTTTTACATGTATTGAAATAGTAGACAGTGATAGAAAAGGTGGGTGGATGGTGTAATGGACAATGGCTCGGAATCCCATTTCGCGACGGTGCTTATGCCTATGTGCGTGAGAGGCTATCAGAGATAGATAGATAGATAGATAGATAGATAGATAGATAGATAGATACGATGCTAAAATTAGTACAACGTGTACTGAAATATTACCCAATGATGGAGAAGTTGGGTGGATGGTGTAATGGACAATGGCTCGGAACTTCATTTCGCGACCGTGTTCATGCCTATGAGTGTGAGAGGCTATCAGAGATAGATAGATAGATAGATAGATAGATAGATAGATAGATAGATAGATAGATAGATACGATGCTAAAATTAGTACACCATGTAGTGAAATAGTGGACAATGATGGAAAAGATGGGTGAATGGTGTAATGGACAATGGCTCGGAATCTCATTTCGAGACGTTGCTTATGCATATGTGTTTGAGAGGCTATCAGAGATAGATAGATAGATAGAAAGATCGATAGATAGATAGATAGATACGATGCTAAAATTAGTACACCATGTAGTGAAATAATAGACAATGATGGAAAACATGGGTGATTGGTGTAATGGACAATGGCACGGAATCTCATTTCCCGACGGTGCTTATGTCTATGTGTGTGAGAGGCTATCAGAGATAGATAGATAGATAGATAGATAGATAGATAGATAGATAGATAGATAGATAGATAGATAGATAGATAGATAGATAGATACGATGCTAAAATTAGTTTAACACGTATTGAAATAGGAGACAATGATGGAAAATATGGGTGGATGGTGTAATGGACAATGGCTTCGAATCTCATTTCGCGACGGTGCATATGCCTATGTATGTGAGAGGTGATCATAGATAGATAGATAGATAGATAGATAGATAGATAGATAGATAGATAGATAGATAGATACGATGCTAAAATTAGTACACCATGTAGTGAAATAGTGGACAGTGATGGAAAAGAGTGGTGGATGGTGTAATGGACGATGGCACGGAATCTCATTTCCCGACAGTGCTTATGCCTATGTGCGTGAGAGGCTATCAGAGATAGATAGATAGATAGATAGATAGATAGATAGATAGATAGATACGATGCTAAAATGAGTTTACCACGTATTGAAATAGTAGACAATGATGGAAAAGATGGGTGGATAGTGTAATGGACAATGGCTCGGAATTTCATTTCGCGACGGTGCATATGCCTATGTATGTGAGAGGTTATCATAGATAGATAGATAGATAGATAGATAGATAGATAGATAGATACGATGCTAAAATTAGTACACCATGTAGTGAAATAGTGGACAGTGATGGAAAAGAGTGGTGGATGGTGTAATGGACAATGGCTCGGAATCTCATTTCGCGACGGTGCTTATGCCTATGTGCGTGAGAGGCTATCAGAGATAGATAGATAGATAGATAGATAGATAGATAGATAGATAGATAGATAGATAGATACGATGCTAAAATTAGTACAACATGTAGTGAAATAGTGGACAATGATGGAAAAGAGTGGTGGATGGTGTAATGGACAATGACTCGGAAACTCATTTCGCGACGGTGCTTAGGTCTATGTGTGTGAGAGGCTATCAGAGATAGATAAATAGATAGATACTATGCAAAAATTAGGTTAACACGTATTGAAATAGTAGACAATGATGGAAAAGTTGAGTGGATGGTGTAATGGACAATGGCTCGGAATCTCATTTCGCGACGGTGCTTATGTCTATGTGTGTGAGAGTCTATCAGAGATAGATAGATAGATAGATAGATAGATAGATAGATACGATGCTAAAATTAGTACACCATGTAGTGAAATAGTGGACAGTGATGGAAAAGAGTGGTGGATGGTG